GCACCCATCCAACTCGTCTCAGCACCGCATCAACTCGTCCATTTAATCAGGTATAACTCCCAATGCAACCTCCTCCCTCCCCCTCCCCATCGATAGGCCCGGTGTGTGATGTTCCTTCCCGAGTCACGTGATCTCATTGTTCAGTTCCCACCTATAGTGAGAACATGCGGGGTTGTTTGGTTTTCTGTCTCTTGTGATCAGTTTCGGCTAAAATGCAGGTTTCGCTGCTCATTGTCCTCAAGGACAAGACTCATGCCTTTTTTTACTTGGCTGAGTAGTCATTCCATGGTGTGATTGTGCGCCACTTTCGTTAATCCAGTCTGTCACTGACGGAACATTTGGTTGACTTCAAGTCTTTTCGTATCTGTGAAGTAGTTGCCAGCACATAAACATAGCGTGCTGCATGGTCTTTAAGCAAGTATGATTTATATCCTTTGGGGTAATAGCCACTTAAATGGGCTATGGGCGGTCATATGGTACATCTAGTTCCTAGATCTTGAGGAATCGGCCATACTGTTTTCCGTAATGGCTTGAACCTAGTTCTACAATCCACCAACAGTGGTAAAAGTCGTTCCTCACTTTCTCCACATTTCTCACCAGACCTGTGTGTTTTCCTGACTTATTTAATCATCACCATTTCTACTAGGTAGTGAGATGGTATCTCCATGGGTGTTTCTGATTTGCATTTCTCTGATGGCCAGTGATTGACAGCATTTTTTTCATGGTGTGCCTGTTGGCTGTATGAATGAGAGATAAATCCATTTAGGAATCCCATTACAGGGATTGTAAGGACCTTTCAAGGAGAACTACAAACCATGCTCCAGTGACAAAAAAGGACAAAACAACATGGAAGAACATATACCATGCTCATGGATAGGAAGGAATCAATATCTGTGACAAATGGCCATACTGCCCAACGGTATTTATAGTTCAATGCCATCCCCATCAAGCTAACAATGACTTTCTTCACAGAATGGAAAAAACTGCTTTAAATTCATATGGACCAAAAAAAGCCTGCATTCCAAGACAAATCTAAGTCAAAGACAAAGCCTGGAGGATCACGACTACCTGACTTCAAACTATACTACAAGGCTACACGTGAACCAAACGCAATCGGTACTGGTACCAAAAGCAGAGATGAGACGACCAAATGCACAGAACAGATGCTCGAAATAATACCACACATCTACAGCCATCTGACGTTGACAACCTGACAAAAACAAGAAAAGGGAGAAGGATTCCTATTTAATAAAGTGCTGGGAAAATTGGCTAGCCTCAAGTAGAAAGGCTGAAACTGGATCCTTTCCTTACACCTTAATACGAAAATTTCTCTCAGGATGGATTAGAGACTAAATGTTAAGACCTAATCATAAAAAATCCTTTAGAGGAAAACTAGGTATACATTCAGCAGGACAGTAGGCATGGGCAAAGGATTCACGTCTAAAACACCAAACAGCAATGGCAGCAAAAGCCAAAAAAAAAAAAACAAATAAAAAAAAAAATATTGACAAATAGGATCTCATTAAACTAAGAGCTTTCGTGCACAGCAAAGAAACTACCATTCAGAGTGAAACCATGGCACCTATTAGACATGGGGAGAAAATTTTTGCAATCTCTCATGCTGGGACAAAGGGCTAATATCAGAACCTACAAAGAACCAAACAAATTTACAGAAAAAAACAAAACCATTCTCAATCACAAAGTGGGCAAAGGATTATGTCAGACATTTCTCAAAAAGGAAGGCTTCTCTAGTCTCTTAATTGGCGGATGTTAGGGTGTCCAATTTGTAGATCTTTCCGCTTTCTCTGTGTGGGCATTTAGTGCCTATAAAATTTTGCCTCTACACAGCTGTTTAAATGTGCTCCCAGAGATTTGGTATGATTGTATGCTTTGCTTCTCATTGGTTTTCAAGAACATTCTTTTTTCCTTGCCTTCATTTCGTTTATGTACCAGGTAGTCATTCAGGGAGCCAAGGTTGTTCAGTTGTCCGATGCTAGTTGAGTGGTTTAATTGAGTTTCGTTAGTCATGAGTTCTAGTTTGATTGCCACTTGATGTCTAGGAAGAGAGAGTTTGTTATAATTTCTGTTCTTGTACATTTACTGAGGAGTGCTTTATTTCCAATTATGTGGTCAATTTTGGAATAAGTGCGACGTGGTGCTGAGAAGAATGTATATTCTGTTGATTTGGAGTGGAGAGTTTTGTAGATGTCTATTAGGTCCGCTTCGCGCAGAGATGAGTTCAATTCCTGGATATCGTTGTTAACTTTCTGTGTCTTTGATCTGTCTAATGTTGACAGTGGAGTGTTGAAGTCTCCCATTATTATTGTATGGGAGCCTAAGTCTCTTATATAAATGATTTTTTAAATACTCTGTTATCTACTATATGTCTGTCTACTTAAGTTTCTTATGTGAGTAGACAAAGAACAATAAATCATAAGTAGAAAGAATAGAAAGAGAAACAATCAGAAGCAGATCACAAAATTGGAAAGGCAAATGGGCAAATAAACACAGTAAAGTTGGTACATTTCCCCTATCAAATAGAAAAAAAAGTAAAACCAAAATTCTCATAAAGTCCTCATAAATTAGTAATTAATATTAAAAGGAAGGCATAAAATTAATTGATGATGAAAATATGTATTATTCATTTGCGGTTAGGCTTCTGGGACATAGGGATTTGTTGCGGGAAGCCGGGGACCCCAAACAGAGGGTCGCAACAGGAATTCTATGCACTGTTGAAAATAAATGTAATGGTAGTGGAAACTGTCATAAACAAAATTCAGAAGTATTATCTGCTGATCTATTTCAAGAGTCTTAAAGTCGTATGCATTATTTAGCTCGGCAATTATATGTCAAGAAAAATGTCCTGAGGAAATGGTGTTAATTTTCTGCAATGATTTACTTACGGTGATGTTTATAATTCATAAATAAAATTTAAAAGTAAATAAAAGTAACTTTAGAAAGGGCTGTCAGATGCTTCTAGCTGCTTATTTGAACAATTGCCCCTCTTTCTCCTTACTATGAAAACACTGATTTCATTCTAGGTAGCATGATGACCAGCCTCCAGAACGGATTCTTGATTGGTCTTAATCATACAATCCCATTCTCATTGGCTAGATACTTATTTCCCAAACTCTATTCCAGTTAGAGATAGCTACATCACCCAGTTCTGGACCACAAGATATAAGGAAAAATCTGTTGGACAGCTTCTGGGAAAAGACTTCTTCCCAAAAAAAGGCAAGCTATTTTGACCTTGCCCCTGATTCCTGACTTTGACTATTGTATGAAGATATGATGCTTTGAGTTTTGCAATCATGAGGCCACAATAATGAGAACAAAACAGCAAGAAGTCCAAAATTAAGGATGAAAAGAGGCTGAGTCCTTGATAACATTGCTGATCTGTCCAACAAGCAAAAAGACTGCCTGTCTCCAGACTTCATTATGTAAATAAATATACTTATGGTTCGTGTCATGGTTAAATTTTATGCTACTTTCAAGTTACTACATCTTAATTGATTCTGAGGTGAAATAATTGGCCCAGAGCAAAGATGGGACTCATGCCCATGTGTATCTATATTACATATATATAAGCTTTAATATCTATTTTAATGTCCAGCATGACCTAACCTCTGGCGATCTTTCCTTGGTACTGTGATCCTTTATCAATCATGTGGATACCCCACTGTGGGACATATAGCCATGTGTAAAAACTTAAAATTAGTGCTTGTATCCCTTGATATCCCTGTGCCTTTTTCTCTTCATTTTTAAAAATATGAAGGTAGGAATAAAGTGGGCTAGATAATTACTATGTTGTTTTCCAGCCACAGGTTCCTGTAACTGCCCAACCCAAATCCCTCCAAAGAGCTCCTAGTGCACTTAGAGAAAAAGGAAAATTTCTCAAAGACCTCAAGCCGCTATCCGGTCTGGTCCATACTTTTCTCTCTGATCTCTTTGTATACCACCCTCCCTCTCATTCACCATACACTCATTGCACTAACCTTTCTCCTTCTCCTTCAAAATGCCTAGTTCATTTTCACCTTGGGACTCTGCACTAGTATCCTCTCCCCAAAAGGTGTCTCCTTAAGGAGACCTTTCCTTGTTTCACAATCTGAAGTAGCCACCCAGTCACCCTAATTTTATTCTTCTCATATCTTCACATCTAGATTCTTCATTTATCTTTGTATGTGTCTCAATTATTATTTTTTCACTAATAATAGAAGGTAAGGTCCATGATGGCAATTAATTTTGTCTGTTTTGCCATATCCATGGTGTCTACAACCATGCCTGCCACTTTGTAAGTGTTCAGTAAGCAACTGCTGAATGAACAAAAATTGCATAAAATAGGGTGTGAGTATGCAGAAACCATCTGATAGCTGCTTGCTTCTGGCCTCTGTAGCCCCAGCTGCAGCCAAAATTTAATACCACCCCCAGGTTCAGGGACCAACAAGGGACCTGAGGAAAGAATGTTAAGCAGATCCAGACTTGAAAACAAGTAAGTTACATAAAGTCTCTGCCTTGCTGGTCATTTTGTTCTGATCTTTACCTTCAATTGGGATTTTAGACCCTCCTTGGTTCCCTATCCCTAAATTCTCCATTGCACAGCTTCCTCAGTAGTGCAGACCCTCTAGAACAGAGGCCTTCTTGATTCTTCTCTCTTTCTCATTTCTAAGACCTGATATCTGGCTGTTGAACACCATGTGGTTGTGCCTTGCTTTAGTTGACAGATTTCCCTAATGCTGAACAGTCCTCATGGGTCTCTGCATTACACATCTCTTCTTGAAATACTCTGTTATCTCATGGAAACTTCCCTTGACCCTGATCCTGCTAGGCTGACTTCGTGCTGGAATCATGACTGCTATTGCATACTCTGTGGATCCCAGGTTTTACCTGCTAAACTGGATTAGTTAGAAGTAGGGCTGACTCCCCTAATCTTGGCCTCTTTCAGTTGCCGGGCTGGATCCTAAGATGCAACAAAAATAAGTGTACTGAATAGGAGAACTTACCTTGGATAGCTCCTGTCCAGGACCACACCGTTGGCAGGTGACACACCGTCCCCATTGGTCCCAGTACTCATTTTCTTGGCAATCCATGGTGGGAAGGCTGTGGGTACAGAACACAAGAACTAGAAAGCTAGTGAGAAGGGACTATAATTAGTGATTTCCATGTCACTTGGCTTCTGGGTCCACTTAATCTAGTATCTAGATCTGAGATAGTAGGGCCGAGGAAGCCAACACAAAGGAGTTAATGCTTATATAGCTCTGACCATGTGACATGAGCTCTAGTAAATGCTTTGCATGTAGTAACTCATTCAATTCTCAAGACAATCATATTAAGAATTATTGTTAGCTACATTTTACAGATGAAGAAACTGAGGCAAAGAGACCAAGCAATTTGCTCAAATTCACAGTCAATGGCTACCCCAGAAGCTGAATTTGTAAAGAGAATAGTAAGACAAGGAGTTGGCTTCTGCCCAGGTGGTAAAGAATACTTACAATCCATCATGTGCAAACAGATCATAACAATTTAGAAAGTACTTTCACATCCATTATTATTTGATCTACACAACATCCATGTGAGGTAAGCAGTATAGGGATTATCATCTTTATTTTATAATTGAGAAAGCTGAAACATGGTTTCTCTTTGCCAACAGTGGCCTCAGTCCCTCTGAGGACCAATAGCTGCCATAGCTTCTGTCTTAGGCAGAATGGGAGGGGAGAATGGCCCAGCATGTAGACATATTTTGGTGCACAAAGGTGCACAGAAAGGGAAACATTACTCAGATAATAGTTCTTGGAATACAGATGCATATAGCAGTAGAGCTGGCCTTGGACTGAGAATTAGGATATATAGATTCTAATCCTGGCTATAGGACAGCAAATAATCCTGTTGCTCAGGAGGAAGGGGTTTCCTAGTACATGGAACTTTCAGTACTAAAACTGGAACAGTTCTGGGCAAAGTGGGATGGCTGTTCACCACACCTGGCTCTTACCCTTTCAATCTACAATCTGCGATGGATCACTTTATCTTTTCTGGCCTCAGTTACTTAATCTAAGCAAAAAGGATAGTATGTTCTTCACCTACCATATATAGCTCTTGGGAGGGTTAAAGGAGCTAATGTCCATCAAGCCATTCTAAAGAGCTATACAAAATAAGACAGAGTTAAGTATGCAGAAAGGTTATCTTTTACAAAGAGGAATTTTAATGAAGGGGCTCAAGTAATTCACACAAGGGGCGTATCCTACTCAAAGAGAAATGTAGCATTAAGTTCTTTTACTTACTCATGACTTCATACTAGGGTGAATTTCAAGTGGTTTCCAAAGGTGCCAAAGTCCTAAATGTATACTCTTAGTCAGAAGAGAGGAGAGTGTACATGTGTACCTTGAGAGACCACCACTCCTCCACTCAAAGGTCCCCCAAAAGTGATAGGTTAAGTAATTCTAGCTGGCATTCCATAAGTGCACCTTTTTTCCATCATCAACTGGGCCATTCTTTCCCATTCCTTCATTCCAAAGAAAGTGGGCTACAAGATCCATATTTGCATAAGATAAACATACTGTCTTCTGTGCTGATTTTATCGCTGCCCCATGGTGTTGTCCTCAGTAGGCATGCTTCCCTCCCCTTGCTATGCACTCTTCTCATTGAGAACAAAAAACATCAGTATTCTCATAGCCTTCATGACCAGGAAGTTAAGCACCACAGTAACAGGGCCAGGATACTGCTCTGGACAACTTTCTCATGTCCCTTTTTGCCCACAAAACAAAAAAACATTGGTAAGAACCAAGAAGTAGCCCTCCTCTTGAGCTAGGTTCCCAACGTAGGCATTTAAAATATCCAGCTGCCACTGGCATTTGAGGGTCTCAGACATCCTATTTCATTTGGTTTCTAGAGCTCCACCCACCTAATAAACATCATGTGTCCTAAACTCTGACATGTCTCTCTAACCATGGCTTTGAAACCTCTGTGTAGGCAAGGCAGGCTCGGTGCCAAAACCCCATATCAAGACTTAGGAAATGAACAGATGGCCTTTCCCTCCTGTCTTTCTCTCTTTCTCTCTTTCTCTCTTTCTCTCTTTCTTTCTTTCTTTCTTTCCTTCCTTCCTTCCTTCCTTCTTTCTCTCTTTCTTTCTCCTTCCTTCCTTCTTTCTTTCTTTATTCTTTCATTTTCTTTTCCTTCCTTCCTTTCTTCTTTCTTTCTTTTTTTTTTTTGATGGAGTTTCGCTCTTGTCGCAGTGCAGTGGTACAGTCTTGGCTCACTGCAACCTCTGCCTCCTGGGTTCAAGTGATTTTCCTGCCTTAGCCTCCCCAGTAGCTGGGATTACAGGTGCATGCCACCATGCCCAGCAAATTTTTGTATTTTTAGAGACAGGGTTTCATCATGTTGGTCAAGCTGGTCTTGAACTCCTGACCTCAGGTGATCCGCCCACCTTGGCCTCCCAAAGTGCTGGAATTAAAGGAGTGAGCCACTGTGCCTAGCTTTCCCTCTGTTTTTCTCATACTGTTTATTCAAAGCGTACAAATTAAATTATCTTTCATTAGAAACTTAACAAATTGACTTTGTTAAAGACAACAAAATCATAGATTCTGGACTCTTTTGAAGAGGTCGGGGAGTATGTGTAAAACTACCTAATAAGGGTTAAATGTCATTACCTAGGGACAAAGTCAGACCTTATATGAATTTTTCCCTGTAATCAGCAGTTTCCTGTAGTATATGTAACTGCTTTTAAAACGAAAAAGTAAGAGAGAGTAATTATGTTTTCAGAAAATTAGAGTTACTCTGAGGTATTCCATACTGCAGCTAGACACTCTTCCAAAGTATCACAAAGGATGTGGCTGAATCCTCTAAACTTCTGGCTAAGTTGGCAATATATACAGACCTATACAATTCCCAAAAGTAGAGACCGCTGCATGTCCAGTGCCTAGCCCTGCACCTGGCACAGACTGTGTACCTCAACAGTGCTTACTAATTGTTAGCTTGTCAACATGCCACATTCCCTGGACTATGGTTAACTATGCATATGAATCTAGCAACATAGATCATTTCTCTTTCAGATAACGACTTTCCAAACAATAGTAGTAATCTCATATCAGGAAAAGAGCAAAGCTCTTAGTTAGGGACATATCAACTTGGGTTTGAATCTTAATTCTGCATCCTCAAACAAACGGTTTTACCTTTGTCAGCATCAGTTTCTTCATCTGCAAAATGGAGGTTTAAGTAATATACTACACAGTAATTTATAAAATTAAATGCAATAATACATGTTAAAGGACCAAGTATAGGGCTTGATACATATGAGACATTTGGTAATTAATAGGTTCCCTTTCTTCTTTCCTCTTCAGAAGAGTGAGGTTTATAGTAAAAGGAGTGCACATTTGTCATTCTTGGGATGTGTGGGGAAGAAAAGGGAAAGGCACCCAAGCTTCTTCATTGACTTTTCCAGCTGGAGCATGAAGGCCATGTTTAAGATGGGTGCCACTATAGCAGTTTCCTCCTTATTAATCGCAACCACCAGTTACCTGATGCTTAAGGAAAAGATTCTTTATGATACCCTCAGTACCTAAGCCATCTTGGCTAAAATAAACATTGTTCTAAGTGTTTGCTGGATTTTTTTCATCAACGCATTTCTATTTAGGATTAACTCGGTCGACAAACATTTGGAAACTTTTCTGAGACAATTGCCTTTGAAATGGAAGTGCAAAGGAAATAAAATCAGATTTGTAAATAAGTGAGGATGTTATTATGGACTTTTTGAAATAGCACATCATGTTCCACAGAACAGTCCCTCTCACCTCCACAACCTAAGGTTGTGGCTGCTCAAGAAAATTTTTTTCACCCCAACTCTGACATGGGGTTGTATTCTCTTTACATTACTGAGGGTTGGGGAGAGGAAGCGAAGTGGCAGATGCCTCTTGTCTCAATCCCATGGAGTATAACACATGATGGAGTTCTGATTCTGCTAAAGTCCATCATCCACTCAGTTGTACTGTTTGTCAGCTACACCCTGAAATACTTTCTCCAACTTCCCAACTTTCCCAGAGAATATCTGATCTGTGTAACTCAGAAGTTACACAGATGAGGTAATGTGGAAGTGCTCTAAAAATTCATGTGGGTAACATGCCGGGATTTTTTGTCTGTCTGTTTCTGATTGCAGTACAACATATACATAGTAAGAAGCACAAAGATTAAGTAAACTAATAAATTTTTACATATGTACATGCCCATGTAAACACCACCCAGATAAATACACAGAACCTTTCTATTACCCCAGCAGGCTCCCTCATGCCCCTTCCTAGTCAATATCGCCTCCTCCCCAGGTAATTACAGCACTGGCTTCTATCATTACAATTAGTTATACCTGTCCTTGAAATTCACATAAATTTGAATCATACAAGATGTGCTCTTCTGTTTCTGGTTTCTCTTGCTAAATATAATGTCTGTGATAGTTATCCATTATGTTTTGTGTAGAACATTTGTTAATTACTATTGTTGTGTAGTATCCTATTGTATGGATATACCACAATTTATATATATTTTTTGCAAATATTGGGCTGCTTTTAATTTGACCATTATAAATTGAGTTGCTATACTATGGCTGATGGATTTTTTAAGGAATGCCAAGAAAATTCATTGAGAAAAAAAGTCTTTTCACATAAGGGTGTTGGGGAAACTGGATATCCACATGCAAAAGAATCAAACTGGACCCCAACCTCACATCATATACAAAACTAAGTCACAATAGACTAAATCCCCAAATGTAAGAGTTAAAACTATAAAACTCTTATAAAAGTTTTCTTATAAGAAAATATAATAATTCTATAATTAATATTTTTCTTATAAGAAAATATAGGTATAAATTTTTGTGACACTGGCAGTGGTTTCTTAGATATAGCAACGAAAGCACAAACAACAAAAGAGAAAAACAGAACAATGACATGTCAACAAAATTTAAAAGTTAAAAATGTTTGTGCTTCAAAGGACACCATCAAGAAAGTGAAAAGACAATCCACATAATGGGAAAAAAAAAATTTCATATCACATATCTGATAAGAGACTTGTATCTAGAATATACAAAAAGCTCTTGCAAATGAAATATAAAAAAGACA